TTTTTATTTTTTTATGTTGGGGTGCACACCTGGGTGTGAATCATGGTCCATTTAATAAATTTTTGTTAAAAAAAAATAAGGTTAAAGTGGAAAAAATATTTATTTATCTTAAAAAATTTTAAAAATTAATTAGGAACAAATTAAAGGTAAAAAAAAAGACAATTGTTTTAAGATAGAGGCAGTAACAATTTGAATTTTAATTGCTATCTGTTAATCCTAAACAGTTAAATAAAAAGTTTTATCAAATACTTAATTTATACCGTTTTCAAAATAAATAAATTTACCAAATACTATTTTATAGCAATTCCAGTAAAATTATTAACTGTTACTCCCAAACTATTATATTAAACATACCCTCGTCGACACTATTGGACTATTTAGTATAGCGAGTAACAATTTTATGTAATTTAATGGGTGATAACTGTTACTTTTTTTATCCTAAAATAACTATCATTTTTTTATTTTTTCTCTAAATTAAAGATTTATAGATAATTCATGCATTTATCTATATTATTTATAGGAAAAAGTGAACAAAAAAGTAAGATTTTTTTTGTGATAGGATAATTAATCAAAATAAATAGATAATAATAGGGTTAAAGTAGAAAAAAAATATTTGTCCATCCTAAAAAAATAAAAAATGACAACTAATTTGGGACAAACTTAAAGATTGTTAATTATTTTTGGGATGGAGGAAGTATTATTAATAATTGAAACAATCTTATTCACTAAATTAGATAAATTCATTAACAACTAATTTTAAATTACTACACGAATTATCCTTATAACTGCTAGTTTTAAACCATTATACCAAACACTCCAATGATAAAATATTGACACTTGATTACTAACTTTTGAAAGAATGGAAAGATAGCCATTTCCTTATTCTTTTAGGCTTAGCATCTAAATTTTCTTTTGTCTGTATAAGGAAGACATGAAATGGTAATAAATTTTAAATAAACAAGAATTGCGGAAGCAAAAAAACAAAGACTAGGGTCTTGTTTTTTTTGGAAAATAGGCAACGGAACTAGGGTCTTGCTCGAGTAATAAAGTTCTGATACCAATATTAAGGCAGGATAGGGTAAGACGAGGGAAAAAACCAACATGGATCGATGAATGTAGAAAGGACCACACAATACACATGGTCCATGTAAAGGCTAGACTAGTATCTAAATTTGCTAAATTTGATGAATGCAGAAAGGACCACACTAGTTAGCTTACAAAATTATCAGCATGCAAGGTTTAAAAACATTTCGCAAAGAGAGAGAGAATCAGTATATTATGCACTCAACTTTACCTCTGTGGTTGACAACGGCAGGAGGAGTTAAAATCGGAGCTGCATAAAATTGATAAACTTCATACCTAACGTAACACCTAGGGTACAATACTCTTGCACCTACTTTTCCGCTGCAACATTCAGAGAGACCTGATATGGCTTCTTGGAGACACCTATTACAATCCAGACTCGACAGGTCTGGTGTGCACTGAACCAGACTGTACAGGGTCTGAAACACAGAACAATTAGACTTCTTTGTGGCAAACCTTTTGTCCACTGACACGGCCTGAGTCGTCGCATCGTTTATAGTCACTGCCACTTCCTTGTTGAATTGGCCCTCATAGCTGGCATTCAGATTGGTAGGATTCACCGTACTCGCGTTCAGCCGTTCACTTAGGGTGAACGAATTCGGTTCGCCAGAGTAATGGAGAAGGCACTCATCGTACCAAATAACCACCTGCTTCTCAACAGGGCACCAGTTTTCCACGTTCTTTGTAGCAAATATGACACAATTTTGACAAATAGTGGTCGGTACGTCACCGCGGCAGAGGAAGAAGCCATAGATCCTATTGGGGCTTTCTCCAGAAGTGGTATTATAGAAGCCGTTGGTGACGTTGGCGTTGGAGGAGAGGGCGGAGAGGAGGCTGTTGAGATTGGATTGGTAAGTTCTGTTTCTGGTGAAATTGACCGCGTTGCGGCACACATGGGCGATGTAAGTTGGGTTCTGAGCATTAACTGTGAAGCGGAGCAGGGAGAGTAAAAAGAGGTTAATGAAGATTCGGAAAACAGACATTTTTAATGATTAAGTCCTCTGCTCTTCTTTTTTTATAGGAGAGAATCGCATATGATATGAATATGGGGAGTACTGTTTTTCAATTTGATTATCAAGCAACGTGGAGTTACAGCAAGCTGTAGAATCTCTGGAGCTCCTCTGAGCTTCAAGAGTTTCCCGAGCTCTGTGCTCCTTGTTTGGCGTCGTCCGGTTTCATCTTTCTCCATTTCTCTATATCTTTTATATTCTCCCCCTTATCTCTTTCTTTTTTATTTTTCCTTTGCTCCTTTTCTTTCTCCATCTTCCTTTTCTCTCTCTCCAACCCTTTTCCAAGTCCTTTCTCCTGATTACTTTTTGTTTTTTAGGTGGAAATTCCGATCACCCCTTTTCTGGGGTAAGGGTAGGATTATTGTTAGGGAAATGATGTGTGCACACCCGGGTCAACACCCGGGTGTGCACACTCCCCATTGAAAAAAAAAAAACCCATAACCACCCGGTCCAATTTTTTTTGTTTATGTGGGGGTGCACACCCGGGTGTTGGATCTGAGTGTGCACCAATCAAGGTCCTTATTGTTATCCAATAATGTGTTAAAATCTACACAAATTTGTCAATGGTGTCTGTTGCGGCATGTGCGTTCTGCATGGTGCACTACAAGGAAACGGGTTAACTGTGATGGGAAAATTAGTCATAAAAATTAAATTTTTTGGTCAAAAATTATATTTGTATCTAAAATTTAGTTGGTCACTGTCCGTTACAAATATTGAGTCACTAAAAGTAATAGTAACTAATTTTGGAATCGTGATAACAAATCATGATTTTAGTTACGGTGAAAATGGACACAATTATTATCGTATTTGTAACAAATTTTTGCGTCACAATGATGACTATTTGTGACAAAATAATTAGACACAAAAAGGAACCTCATTTGTAACATGTATAACTTGTCACAAAAGAAATTGTTTGTGACATAAAATTTGGTTACTAATATTAAATCATTTGTGTCGTTTCTTTTTAATCACAACTAGAATTATCTGTGACTAAAAAAAATGAAACAAATACTACCATGTTGGTCACAATTAGGATTATTTGTGACCCAAAAACTTGTTACAACTATTATTATCAATGACAAAACAAAAAGGTCATAAATTGAATGTGTGACAGAGTTTTTAGTTTTAAAAAAACATATCCCAAAAAATAAAAAAAGGGCATTTTTGAAAATTCAATAAACACTAGTGTTCAATGATTTCGTTACTAGAATAACAACTATAAAATAGTCTCTTAC